TTGGAGAACGGGGAGGGACTGGGGTCTGGGAAATGTCTGAGGTAGGGAAGCATGGGAGACTTTGAAGTCAGTTGGGTGACTAAAGAATGGAATGCCAAAAGGAAATGGCAGAACATCAGGATGTGCCTTGAGGGTTAGGGTTGAAGCAGGACTGTGCATGGATACTTGGGGTCTGAGAACTGAGGAACTGAACTGAGCAAAGGTGCTGGGATGAGACCAAACGGGACTTCTTATCTCCTCAGGTGGACTTTGAGGGCAGTCTGGCAGAAAACCGCTTCACTGTCCTCCCCAACATAGATCCTGAAATTGATGAGAGTGAGTACTGGGTGAGCGCACAGTGCCAAGTGTGAGTCCTGACAAAAGGGTCCACCCAATGATGGGGTACCCTTGGCAGGCATTCACCACAATTAGGGATCATTATAACAACCAGGACAGGAAAAGGGAGTAAACCTCCTTTTTGTGCCTTCCATCCTCCTAGAAAAAAGAAAGCTGATGGGACTTCCCAGTTTCCTCACAGAGGTTGCTCGGAAGGAGCTGGAGACTCTGGACTTCCGTATTCCTTCATGCAGTGTCATCTACATCCCTCTGGTGAGGGCAGAAGGGTGGGTGTAACCTGAAGGGGTGGTTTAGGGGAGGCTTTAGGCTTATGAGAGACACACTGGTAGATAAGAAAACTTCTGGAAGCGTCTGAAAAACAGAAACATCTTTTTGTGTCTTGAGCATCCTGAGGGGGATATAGAGGCCTCTGGGCTTACCCTTGGGAGAGATGCCCAGTTAATCACTCTCTGCATTACCTCTTTTGTATTCTCCCCAGATTGGCTTCCTTCTTTCTATTCCCCGCCTGCCTTCCATGGTGGAGGCCAGTGACTTTGAGATTGAAGGACTGGACTTCATGGTGAGACTCTCAACCTGTATAGGAAGGTAATAAGGAAAATGAATCAAGAGCTGAGGGAGGGCTCACCCCATCAGTGCTACCAATATAGGCTCTGTCCTCTGTGGTTTTACTTTAATTTTTAGCAGAGCTCTGGTAGCATAGTGCCTAAGGCACTTGACTGCTAACCAGAAGGCTGGCGGTTCAAACCCACCAGCCACTCCT